CGCCTCCAGCTTAACAAAGCCTCAGACATCAACCTCATTTCCAAGCGCACTTGGCCGATGATTCGTCCGTCTCCAATGATCCCATCTGAAAAAAGGCTATGAATTTTTCTGGAAGATTTCTCTGGCTCACGGGTGCGCTTAAATGTGAAGTTTCCTTTGATGGTACTCAATTCAAAGAAACATGGCACCTTACAAACCGTCCGGGCCTGACTTAGTTGGCCTTAACTGGATCGAGAAACTCGGTTTCCTGAAGCTGCCATTTAAACGCATTTGCAACAGTTCGCAGTCAACTTGGCCGAGTCCCGCCAAATCTAGTTAGGTGGCGGCAAAGCTGATTTCGGCCCTACAGGCGAAGTTTGCTCCAGTTTTTCAAGACGGTCTTGCTTACTGCAGCAAGAAAAAGGTGGTAGGGTTTCCTTGTGAGATGTACAAAAGGGTTTATGTGTTTTAGTCACCTACTTAAATAGTTTAAGTGGGCTGAATTGCCCATAATCTTCCAGTTTTTTACACGTCATCCGTAGGCCCAGCAGGGATTTGATGAGGGCGTTGAACTGCAGAGTGGTCCTCTGAAGGTCATTGCATACCATAACCGGTAGTATACTAAGCGAAGTAAGCCTTTTCAATTAACCGCGGGAATAACTGCCTACTTACAAATTTTAAGTAGTGTGATTTCCACAATCTTCCACTTTTGTACTGCGTTAACCTTTTTTTCTAGTTGGTATTGTTGGTTCCACTAAAAAATGTACCTTAATGACCTCGCCCGAGGTTAGGGTACACTCCCTCTACATACACGCGTTCGCCGTTGGTCGGGCGGGGGTTAGCGATGATATTAAAACCCATTTCAGTGTCTTCTCCCAAGGTTTGAGTACGCGACCCAACTTGTCCTCGTAACTTTCTTTATTTTTCAGCAATTTTGCGATCTTATTTGCTCCCTGACATGCCCCGCCCGTCGTCTTTCGTAAAATGAGGTGCCAATGAGCCTGAGGGGCGCGCTTCACACATTCCCCGGGCGGCCCCACAACGAATCCTTACCAAAAAGGTAACTCTCCTACTGCAGCCAAACGCAAAATCTGTCTTCAGACCACAAAAAGACTAGTTCCTTTTGCTGGTCCCACTTACTGCTACACTTACTGTGGTCGACCAAGAACTCGATCTTCTTCAGCGAGACGGTGTTCTTCAGCCACGTGATTATTCGGCATGGGCCGTACCGATCGTGTCTCACGAAAAATCAACAGGTAAATTCCTAATCTCTGCTTATTGTTCCACTGGTCTCAATGCTTCTCTAGACACGCATCAGTATCCATTGTCCGTGCCGGGAGATCTTTTTGCTAAGCTGAATAGTGGAACTTGTTTCGCTAAGCTAGATCTATCCGCTGCATACATCCAAATCGAGGTGGACACCCATCGTGGTCTGTCCCAATTCACCTGTTTGTCATTCGGGATTAAGACCGCCCCCGCCATCTTCCAACAAGCCATGGACACCATGCTGACGGGCACCGAAAGCGCCGCTGCCTATCTGGATGATATTATCTTCATTAGGTTTGATCAACATGGACTGTTTCAACGTCTGGAAACAGTACTCGGCCGGATTCCGGACTAAGGTTTCCGTCTACGCCTGCAGAATTGCAAATTTTTTCATGCCTTCGGTGTAATATCACGGCTGTCATAATCAGGCTAGGCCTTTGACAAGCCAGCCGTTGACTCACAAGCCAATCGTGTCGCTACTCGCTCCAGGACAGTGTCTCATTGGTCCGATGAACATGGCTGTACGCGCGTTTGTTTACCTTAAACATGTTGCACTTTATACGCTAAAAGACTTCTACTTTGCGCTCTTTTGATGTGTTCCTCCTTAGTGACTAAGGCGCAATTGGA